CTTTTGTTCGTTACATTTCGAAATGATTTCTGTTATAAGATATTATCGCGAATTAAACTTAACATTTGAAAACTTATTAAATCTCGCCGTTAAATCTCTGAAACTTTCACGAGTCTAATTATATTATTGATTTGAAAACTTATCTCGATTAAAAGAAAAAATCGCGTAATTTTAAGCGATTAAGGAAATAAAATTAAACCATTGTAAAAAATATAGCGGCTTATTTCTCTTACTTATTAGAATCACAGTTTCACTTGTTTTAAAATGTAATAGTTAAAAGAATTACATAATCTCCAGAAATCTTTTTTATTTTTATAAGAAGGAAATAATGAAAGTCTGCATAATTAATAATAAATGATAAATGCGTAATAAGTCGCTCATTTTATGAATGTATACTGTCGTTGCCAGATATTTCCTAGGCCTTTTTCTTTCCCTATTCACACAATACTTATTCGTGAAACTATAATAATTAATTCGCGATTGCGCGCGAGCTAATTGCCATAATACGGCAATGCAATCGCACGACGCTTTTCACGACACGATGCGTACTTAATTATGTCGCGAAGAATATCAGAATAACTCGAAGGGGCTGCACGAGAGAAATCACGAAATCCGTCCGTAACATCTCATAAATTAGCGTGATTCGAGTAATGATTCTCGAAGCGAATCGATAATGATTTCGGAGGCGACGGATCTCCGATGTACGAATGCCGAATTTATGGCATCGACAAATATTAACACAACGTTTAATTACAACACGGTACATCGTACACGCGGAATCATTAATTCTTTGACGCATGAATTCCTTGTAGGCCTCGATAAGAGATCATATTCTTGCATTAAGTAACGCATTAACCTAACCTAACCGTGCTTACTGAACAGGTAGCAATGCCGAATATCCACTTCGATAAAAACCGTCGCGTCGATACGCCGACAGTCATTAATCTCGATACACTCGAGAGCTAATTGACCACGGTTGTAATCTCTAATCGCTCGTATGGAATCCCGTTTGGTGCTTTCTTATTGCTACTTGTCGCGGCAAGGTTTGAAAGAGTAATACGATGCGCAACACCACCGACCGACTCGAGCCCTGGCGCTTGAATGATAACTGATAGCGCGGTAACCTTGTTTACGCGCGCTTACGTCACGCCATATGGGCGCCGAGCGCTGGTTCTTGGAAATTCTCTCGCTACCTCTATACATATACATATAAAACTTATTTAATATACTATAGATTTATAAACCGAATATGTTCTATTCTTCAAAATTAAATTCTTCTTAACACGATTACATTTATTTCATTTCTTGTTCAATCAATCAATTTTAATCTTGGCTTCTATTTTTTCTCGCATAAAGTTAATCTGTTAGTGACGAATAATGTGCGTTATTATTTATAAGATCGTGAGACGCTCGATGAAAGAATATTCGAGCGAAACTGCGGGTATAAACTAGAAAAACGAGGTTGGGGAGTAGCGAGTAATGAAATGTTTGCGTGTCATAAATCGGAGACGTAAACGTGCGAGAAACCGGGAACGGCAAATTTGTTTCTCTATGCCACTGTTTTATATTCTTTCTTATTGGAACAATTGATAAAAATTTAAAGAATACTTTACGTCGCCAGATACAATAAGGCGAAGAATTTTCATATTATATCATATTCGCGGAAGACGTTTTACGTTACGACTTTACAGACAGAATTATATATTTTTACTGATAAAAAATGGTAGAGAATTCTTGATGAAAAATGATAGAGAGTTTGTTGTATAAATTCACGTTCGAATTAAGTGGAAAAATAAATATGAATGAAGGAAGAAATGAGAACGTACGTTGGGTATAAAAGATTCATTACGCTTCTGCAAGAGCGTAATGAGACATCTAAAGGAAGAGAAGTACGAGATAAACTAAATATCTTTAAAAATTATAAATATCTTTACCGTTTTTATACGTGGTTACAAAAATATTACACAAAATACTATATCTTTCTGAAAGGGGATTCTGAAAGGGTATACTTAAAGAAAGTAAGCTAGTTGCAATGGAAGAACATTCGCAAAAACAACTTAACATAGACGGGTTAACGATAAAAATTTCTTTTTTTTTTACTAATAATATAGGTTAATTTAAAAATACTTTATTTGTTTTTAATATAGGTCAATGTTCGTTATCTTTCAATTGTATAATTCTCTATAAATTGTGTAAGAAGGAAAACGATGTTTAAGAATAAAAAATGTAATAGTGAAATAGAGAGAAATCTCTTTTCCGAGCAAACAACAATGAAATTTTAATTTTTAATTTTTTTACGGGAAGGAAACTTGTTGCGCGATTAAAACTTTTCACGCTTGAAAATATCGGAATAGACAAACTTCCTAATGAAAGATGGTAATTCTCCGCGGTGTATTTTTATGGCTTGCCTCAAAGTCTCATCGTGACGATGAGGACTTCAGTATAACATTGCTGTCTGCACTTGAATCGCATTTTCTAAAGAGTATCTCCTCGACATAGAAACGCGATCGGAACCACGTCACGTCGTTAATGAAAACGAGCGTTGCAAGAAGAAAACCGCAAAGTGGACGTCGATAAAGTCGCCGTGAAGTGGATGCTCGATAACTGTGTCCCGACGACGAAGAAGTGCGTTGAACGTGGAGCAAATTAAATTTTCTTCATTGACTAGTCCAAATTTTCCCATCGAGCCCTTCATTCCCGGCGCATCCTTCCCTTCTTCCTTTCTTCTAGCTCGTTCGTCACTCAACGACTTCCTTTTTGACAATCAGACAAGCAGGAACCAAGCTTATATCACTATTGTTGTATATTTCTGAACCATGAGATAACCGAAATTTCTGCTTCTTGCATTTTCATTTTGTTCCCTTATAATGTTATAATCGGCATCCGCAAATTGGAAAATTATTTAAACGAAAATCGTGTTCCATGCAAGTATGAATTTCATTTACCAATATACTTGTTTGCATATGCTATTTTGCTAAAAGATGTGTTCGTATTTCTTTCTTTCTTTATATCTCGTTTATATTTCTATTCTTTCAATTATATATAAATAATGCAATACAGTATGCGCAAACATATATAGATTTTTAAACGGAAAAAGTAAGAAAGATATTATAAATAACGCTGATTCTAAAAGATCTTTGAGATATTCGATATCCCGACAAATGTTAAGTGTCAAAAGGTATTGAATCTCGAAATTCTCTGTGGGTGGGCATAAAATATTCGTTTTGTACGTGAGAGAATTCACTTCGATAGATTTTCAACTTCGACCTTTGCCACTGTGCGATTGTCGAGAAAATGAAGGAAAGCATTCAGGATTATTAGCTCGTCAAAGTCGAAAAATAAGGATAATGCGTGTCGCACCTGAAATAACACGCAGAAGAAGGAAGCAGGCAGGTATACAAGCTAGGACACACAATAAGCAGTAAAATTTTGCAAAATACTTCCCAAACACCTGTCACTGTCTGTATATGTTTCCGATCTTTTCACTTTAACTTTTAAGTTTCCTAAGCTGACATTTCTAAACTTTCTGAGAAATAATATTTTTAATACATAAAGTATATTTAAGCGGACAAATATAAGAATAAAGAAGGAAGTATTTTATGATGCGGTAAGAAAAATCGATGCAGCTGTTCTTAAACGATGTCTAACGTAAATCAGAGATGAAACGTGCGGAAGAGCAGAAGAAGTGATAAGAAAGTGACTGGATGTAAAATCTCTGAGATGCCATCGGGCTGAAGATATAAGAAAGCCCGGCGGCTTATCCAGTTTGCATGTTCTTTGTGAATAAAGAAAAAGTGTGGAAAACTCGCGTTACATATCGTGCATATTTCTCACGAAAAGCAAATGCATTCGGAATGACACATTGCACGAGAAGATAAATCATGACGCAAGAGAATTAAATTTTATTGTTGTGCAATTTGTGCCGAAGGTACACTTGATAAACGATTGTTCATTAAATCCGCGTTCGTAATCATAATTATTCAATTGCACGCACAAATTTTACAGCTAGAATAATTACGTTTTATTAACAATAATTATGTATTAAATATACAGTTTGTTAATCTCGATTATTAAAGAAAATTCTAAGTAGAGTGACGTGTGCATAAAAAATTCCATAATTATTATAAGTCTAACTGTTGGCATTTTGCTTCATTAATAATTTCTAAAATTAAATTTTCTTTGTGTTGCTATTTTATCATCTCTTTAATAATATAGCATGACACAACCACACAACATACATACACACACACGCACACAAACGTCCCTCGTCGCAACGACGTTGAGAATTTGACTACGCTTGATACTTGATTAATTTTAACTACACCGCATTAGTCCTTTGGCTATGTCATTGCGTGCACACTTATCCCTGCGCAAACGGGCTACAAATTACAGCGTAAGACGATCTCAAGGTACATATATATGTATACATATATGTGTATGTAAGCGTGTAGAGAGTGAATACAACGGGCATGCAGTGGCCCCTAGCGCAGCATTCACTTTACGTACATATACACAACTTATCTCGAGGAGTTTGCTGGCGTTCTTGCTTGCATTTGCCTAACCGCGTTAACGGATCCCGATCCAAATATCAGCCTCGAGGAACTCTCTATATGGCTTGTGCTTCCTGTGCACCGGGTCGGTGCCAAAACCGGCAACGAGCCTTTGTCCCTACGAATTCCCGCAAGACAAATCTCGAGTTTTGCGATTTACGTAAATGGAACGCAAATATTCCAAAACTTTGTAATCTTTCAATGCTTTTGTAGTAAGTAATATATGAGCAAAAGTGGGTTGTTTCACACATTTAAAAATTGCCAAATAACTTTATGATAATTTAAATAAAGTTTATTATACGTTCTAATAAAATTTTGTATTAAAAAAAAAATTTGGTACAAGTTTCTTAAATCGTGTCTCTGCAGTCCAGTTCCTCTCCATCTACTTTATTTAGGGTGTAATTTATCTAAATTATATTTATGTAACTTATATTATATCTTTGATTGCAGATGAGTGGAAAACGGACCAGAAGTTTTAAGTGCGCCGTGCACCATCGGGACCGTGAGATCTGTTCCGAGAACGATTTTCACCTGCTCGTGCATGAGCCGCCTCTGTTTCGCAGGTACGATTAGTCACGCTTAATATAAGGTTTTCACGGTTGACTGAAATGTGACAGTAGCATTTTGGAGCACGTATTTTTCGCTCCATAAGATTTTAACAAGACATTCTTTTGGAGAAAGCTCTTTCCAACGATTAATCTTAACTAATTCAAAATCTAAACCGTCGAAATTCCAGACGACACATTGACTTACATTATTACTAATTATATTATTATCAAAGCCGTAATCAAACATTTGAAGGTAAGTCGAGTAAAAAAAAAATCATTTGCGAAAAGGCGTTCCGTTACTAAAACTTCTTTAAGAATATCGTACATTCGAGTTGAGATAGTGTGATAGGTCTTTCGAAAAGGGGAGTAAACCGATTCTCTCATCTTACGACACGTCGGGAGACGAGAAAGACGCGCGAAGACGCAAGGAATGCGGATAAAACGAAAACACGAGACGAAAGAAGTTCTGTATTTTATTATTCCGGCAGAATATCCGACGTGCACGACGACGACGACGACGACGACGGAGACAGCAACGCGGACGAGGACAACCGTTCTTACAGTATTTCTACCGTGCATTTTATGCTGCGCATCGTTACCCATGCGAGAGAACCCCGAGGAGGTACCGACATACCTCGTACATTGTACGACCTGCGAAACATCAACATCTTTCTGCTTCCTACGACCCGCTCCTACGATCCCACTTCCTTCTTCGTGCCTTTCTCACTTTGCATCTTTTACGCTCCGTGAAATTATAAATGCAACGATGTCGTTATTTACCGATACGCTTCCGCGCTTTTAAACAGCTCTTTATAAGAGCAAATTCTTTTTTTCCACGAAAAGTGACAAGTGTAGCCGCGCCGTGAAAAAAATTTGTGACTTTCCATAGAGGAAGGAAATATAAACCCGCGTATGGATCGTTATTGTAACAGCTACGTTATTGGACACGGATTGCCAGATGTAATCGATGTAGTAAATATCGTTCGTCGTTAATCATACATTTAACGGGTCCAACGAGTTCGTCGTCGATATAACTTACAGAATAATCGCTAGTACGCGACAAGCTTAATAACGCAATTTATTGACGTCCCCGACACGATGCAGTTTCGAGTGTAATTTGTAAACGTTACGTGACGAAGTATTTGGCGTGCAATTTAAATAAAGGCATTCCTGCTATCTAACGCGTCATTTATAACGATATTGCGAACGCGTCGATGTCGTCTCGCGATCTCGAAGGCGTATTCGTTTCGCTGTGTGATGCGCGTCCGAGGATATTAATTCCTTTTTTCTCGCGGAGCAACTCGATAAGATGAATAGGTTTGGATATGTATCGGGCATCTTTTCTCTCGAGGAGGCGCCGCGCCGCCCGTGCCGGGTCTCTCGAGCGTGGTCGATTCGACTTGTTCCTGGGTGCTATTCATAAATAATTCATCGTATCGCCCGCACGAAAGAAGAGACGGAGAAGATGGTGCTCGACGGAGCGAGTGAGGAAGAACGAGAAAATGAAACGGAGAAGACAGCGACAAAAGATAGGCCGTGCAAGGTAGACTTCGAGGTAGACACATGACTCTATATGAAAACTAATAGAACTGAGTTTCGAACCCTCAGCTGTCAAGGAACTCTGGATTAACATACACAACACACTACAATAGTAATTTTTGGTTTTACAAATATTTGTCCAACTTCTCACAAGCTTTATATGAGATAAAACTCATATACATAAGTCCTGACACGTTTGTTCACATCTTTTTATTATTTTTTCTACATTCGAAAATTATTAACTTTGATCAAAGTCATCGTCCACTCCTGGGTAAATTGAGAGAGAAGCAGGGAAGTTTAAAGAGTTATAGAAAGACAAATGAAAAGTAGAGATCTACAGAAGAAGATAGAAAGAGAGAGAGAGGAATATGATGAGCGCTGTAAAATCTGGGCACCGCGCCGCGACGTGGCGTACAGAGGAGAGAAATTCCTGCGCACACAAGATAAGAAACGGCAACCTGCAGCCAGGGTTCTTTGCAAATAAAATATCGCCTCGTGTCAAGCGGTCGCGTCTAGGCGGGGGTAGTGTTGAACGGGGGGAGGGGTTGTTCGAGGGTGGGAAAGGATCCGACGCGTTACGACGGAAATATGACGAGACGATATTCCGAGCAGGTAGCGAGCGCATGCTTGGAATTCGGTGTGAGCACGACCCTTAAGTCTGTACGCCATCCCCCGCCCCTCTCTCCGTGACACCGACATCACTCGTCTCGCTTTTGTCGTTTCCGACCGCTTCCGCGATCGCGTACCGCGTATCTCTTCGTCTCGCTATATCTCTCTTTCTCTCGTCCGCACTCCGTTACATTAACGCGACGAGGAGTATGTAAATTTTACCGCTGACTCGCGAAAAGATGGGACTTCTTCGCTCGTACCCTCGGGAGGTCGCACAGCCGACACATCTGAAAACCCCGAACGCGGCCACGGCGGTTTATGGCGGTCGGTATGTACATCTTGGTGGAGAGCCGTATTGGTCGCGAGGTAATGGTAAGTGGTCGTGCAAGAGGGATATTGAAGTCTTTGAGATTCTCCGACATGAATCGCAACGGCAATTCGGGCTGACGTTAATCTTTTATTTAAACCGCGAGGTGTTGGACTGTGCCTCGAGGAGACCGCATTAACGAACGCTTCTGGCAAACTAGCATTTGCGAGTGAAAAACCTCCGCACGATGGGGAGTGGTATGGATGGATAACTCTCTCGTGACTCTCGGCCAGCGCGATCCACCGATTTCCGCTCCGACGATATTTCCGTTCACCATTGTCGCAAAAAGAAGGGATGGAACGCGGAGCGTCGCGTCGCTCCGTGCACGCTTCCGCCTCTATGTCGGGGTATTCGCTCTTGCTTAACAAACTCGAAGCGGACATTTTGCAAGGCGGGCCGGGACGGTATACAAAAAAGAGCCCGGTTACACACATGCGGAAATTCGCTGCGCGCGCGTCTCTCACTCGATCTCGGCCCTTTGTCGGCCCTCGCTTGGTCGTCGCGCTTCCATTTTTCGCTTTCGCGAGAGCGTCATCCAGCCGTTATGCGCTCGTTCGCGCTTCTCGTCGACGCGACAATGAGCTTCTGCTCTCGCGGAAAACCACTTCGCTTTCCCTTCCATCCCGTACCGTGCATATATACGTAACCATTATAACGAACCATCAGCAGAGCACAATTATTTCGCGCTTTTAACGCGCTCTTCACGGCGTTCCCGTCAAAGCCTCGTACTTGGACGACGACGCGAAACTCGGTTTCATAAAAGCCTTATCAAAAGCCTGTCGAATAGTTAAAAACATGAGCTGCAAATTGCTTGTAACTCGTGAATTCCGGTTGCCGATTAAATTAAGAAAAGTCTATGCAAATACGATAAATATAATGAGTTCAGAAAATTATTTGCAGAATTTTCCCGACCAAGAATGTACCAAGTAGAGGAAATTCAATCTATTGAATATTAAAAATATTCCAGAGTGAGCTAAGTTATTTGCATCGTAATCTATATTTAAGTATAATCAGACCGTTGAAAATAGAACAATTGGATATCACTCACATTTTTAGAACCAGCAAAGTTCGAGAGAAAATATTTAATGTAATATCTAATCGATATTTTTTTCATTTTTATAAAGTAAAGAATAAAAAATTCCAAGTTTAAAATTATGTCGAAATATTTCTGCGTATAAATATATATACATCGTTAAGTATATATACGTGTGTCGTGTAGAAAATGATTGTCACATTTTGGTATCGATTATTCATTTAACGACTCAATCATCCCAAAACGGAACCCACCCGTGAAGAAATTCGGTAAGCCGATTTCCGCAATAATTTCACGCATTTAGCTGGTTCTTCGTCTCCAGTATACCCTAGGGCGGTATGTTTTTAGTGACGGTGCGAATAACACCTTTTGGAGGAAAATATTTGTCGTTTTTGAAATATGCCGAAACCCCATTCAACTAAGGCCGCCCGCGTTTCAGAGGAGCTCCAATTTTTTCTTGCTTACTTGCCTACCTACCTACCTACCTACCGCGCTACTAAAAGATGCTCGACGATGGATGCACGTAGTCGTTGTCGCCGTCGACGAAGTCGACTTTGTCGCTGCACGACCGCATTGTAAAAGCCCCGTCGTTCATTGTTGACCATCAAAGGACCGCGTCTCACGTCGAAAATCGCCCGGAACGGAAAAGAGAAGCCGACAAATTGGAGGTTGGGCTAACGACGTGCTGCTGTTGGCCTTCTGTGTGAGAGCTACGTGGCCATTTTTTCGATATTCGCCATCCTAGTTGGCCCAGCAGCATGTAATGAAGTGATGCCAGTGCACAAAGGATTTAAGGATCTGGAGCGGTATATTACCGAGCTTATTTCACAAACACAAATAAGATGAAAGATATAGAAAGGGTCCAGTGACCTCAATTAGTATAAGATTTAAATGTTTTTACCCCAGTAAAGACTGGGGTCTTTACAAATGTCTTAATATGCAGATTCTTCGATTAATTTCAAGAATTATTTATTGATATTATTAGATTGTTAAATACGGAGTATTATATTATGAAAATTTTTATATTTTATATTGTTCTTGTGAAGTAAACGCATTTATAATACAATAGCATTTCTTTATTCGCCGCTTAAAAAAACATTAAGTGTTATCATTAAATTTATATTTGTTAATTTCGCGGCAATAGTTTTTCGTGCAAAAAATTGCCGTTTAAAATCATGATCGGCGCGGCGGTTCCGGGACGCTCTTGTATGTCGCTTCTCAATCCCCCCGTTTAATCACCGTGTAGTTTTTACACGTGATCACTCGTCCATCGGGCAATCCCGTCAAATCCAATTTCGCCGCCGGCGATAGGCCTATACGATAAGATCTGGCGAGACGCGGAGCAGACACACATTGTGGAGCGTCGAAGTTAATAGGCGATATAAAGAGGGATCGTGTGTGCGGTAAAGGACGATCTACTGGGTCGTGAAAGACGTATTTGGGAGGGGACAGCGGAGGTCGCGAGGC